GAGCCCGAGCCCTGCTCCCCGCCGGGCCCTCACCTTCCAGCAGCTCTCCGGCCCCTTTGGGCGAGGTGAAAAGCACTTTCCGCGGTGGAGTCAGCTCGGACACTCCGCCGAAACCGCCCGCCGCCGAGGACGAGGACGACGATGCCGCCGAGGTGGCCATGATAGACACTGCCGTAAACCGGAACGGCTTCCTTCCCTCGCGACATAGTTTGCGGCGTGAGGTCGTATTTTACCACACTTCACGACACCCGTTTGATGGCGTTGTATTGGATGAACTCATTGTCATTGAAGGGGGAGGGTCATGTCTTTTTTCAACTTTTTTTCGCAACGATACCGATAATTTTAAATTAAACATACATCTAAATAATTCAGTAAAATTAATAGTGCACGTTGTAAAAACAAGGAGCGCAGTGCCAAGTTTTATCTTTATACAAGTACATATTTGGCAATAAAAGCTGTCTGCCATGGCTGTCTATTGTATTTAACTTCTTGGGCTGTGAAAAGGCGAATTAAATCCAATTATAATGTTAAAATGACGCCATGTGTATTTTAAATTAAAAATCGGAATGGTTTCTCCCTCCACTGCCCGGGGAGAATTGGGGTCGGACACCGGAAGCGATTGTTTGGATTACCGGAAAGGACGGATTATTGTGACGGACCGGTCTGATACAGTTGGTAATTTTATCTTGAGTGCTCTCGGTATGTATAGTATCGTTTAGTTAAAGCATTAACCAGCCTTCTTCCCTTTCTTCACTGGGGGAATAAAACAGCAATTTTAATTGATGTGGCAACCTTTAACAACAACAACTGGCCATTTGTAGAGCGTCGAGTTGAGATGTCCCCAAAGCTCTTCGCAGGAACCTTATCCTGCAAAGTTAGATACAGAGCCATCGTGCGAGATATTTAACCAAAATTTGGTTTAACTCAAGTAGACATTGGGAATGAGGGTGGAGGGTGCTATTTCCAGAGTTCAGGGCACAGCCAGTCGTGGTGGAGGGATGTTAAAAAGAGGCATGAATTGCAAGACCTGGTACCAAAATAGTTTCAGAGATCGTGGGTGAATGGAACTTGGAGCAAGTTAGGGCATTAGGTGACCTCCTGTTTAGGACGGAATGATTTTTGGAGGCCAATCAGAAATGTGTTAGGATAGTCAGGCTTAGAGTTAATGAAATCATGAGTGAACTTTGTAAAATGTACTAAGGCGTGTAATCAGACACTTTTTACTCTGAACCAATTTGGGTTTCCTCTGAATGACGAGAAAACAACTAGTGAGTACTCAAACATCAAATGAGGAGGTTAGAAGATATTTTTGCGTTGAGATGTTAGGATTTTAAGTTCCAATCATGTTGGAATCAGAATCAGTATCAATGTTTTAACAGGGCAGTGGCTAAATACTATCAAAATAATATTATTGTCTAGAGAAAAGTCAAGAAAATGTGACTAATTAGACATCTCTTTCAGAGAGCTAGGACAGGAGTGGCGTTCATCTGTTCTATAAAATTCTCATCAATTAATTATGTTGCTTATACTTCTTTTGGTTGGCAGCACGTTTGACGGTTTTATAGCCTTTAATGAATATAAAATACATTGAATTTCATTTAATTTGGCAAAGCTCATCTTGTGCTTTAACCATTGTTGGCTGACCCCTCATGGTGAAGATGAGATGAAATGGAAGTTCTTCGGCCAACGCTGATCAATATTGACGGACGAATTTACCGCAAAAATCATGTCAAAGAGCAGGTGTACCAGAATGAAGAAGAGGAAGACTTTACTCACTCGGGTATGTATAAACACAGGCAACAACTCCATCTGTAAGCATTGAATGAAAACAGAACTAATATTTTTATTTCCAATAAGTTTACATACTGATAATTGAGAAAAATGATGCCCGGAATTCACTTTATATTTTAGGTGAAGTTCATTTCCTATCTTCAATTGCAATGTTTGGACATTTTTAAATAATGTTTGGCTATTTTAAACAAGTCTAATGTTGTGAACTTAACTACTTTGGCCAACTCGTTCTGCTCTTGATCACCTGTGTAAAGAAATAATTCCTCAAGTTTCTAATAAACTCTAACCCTACCTGACCCATACTCTGAATATGAGGAGGTTTTGTGGTGCGGAGATAATATCCCAACCTCTGGCCATTAGATCTGGTTCAAAGCCCCCGCCAGGACACATCGGCCATTAAAAGTAACATGGTCAAACAGGCTGACTATCAGCCCGTAAATCCTTCCAGTATGCTTGATGGCATTGTTGTAAGAACAGTGATGGTCGCCTGGTATCCATCCTGTAGGAGGCAATGGCATCCATTGCCATACATTGCTCCATAATCTTGGCCGATCCAATGGAAGCCTGTGGCCCAAGTCTTGGAAACAAAGATGGGAGAAAAGACAAGGAGACTTGTAATCTTTTTGAGTGATGACTCATATTGCGGCAGTCCAGTGAGAAGAAAACAACGACATGGATTACTCCTTAGGTGTAAAAATTAAGCTGATTTTACCTCGTCATCCTGTTGTTGTACTTAATAGTTTTGTCGCAATATGAGACAAATCCAATCCCACGCAGTATGTTGAATGTGTCCGGTCCCTTCTGAGACAGCTTGTTCCAGGGTCAAGAATCCAACCTTCTCTAAAGTGTTGCAGAACTTGAGAGGCAGTCTGATCTGAAGATTTAATTTGATCTTTATTGGCAAATAACCTGGATCTGCTATTTGAGATAACAAGGTGTACAGCTGGATGAACACAGCAGGCCGAGCAGGAAGGCTGATGTTTCGGGCCTAGACCCTTCTTCAGAAATGGGGGAGGGGAAGGGGGTTCTGAAATAAGTAGGGAGAGAGGGGGAGGCGGATAGAAGATGGATAGAGGGGAAGATAAGTGGAGAGGAGACAGACAGGTCAAAGAGGCGGGGATGGAGCCAGTAAAGGTGAGTGTAGGTGGGGAGTTAGGGAGGTGATAGGTCAGTCCAGGGAGGACAGACAGGTCAAGGGGGTGGGATGAGGCTAGTAGGTAGGAGATGGGGGTGCGGCTTGAGGTGGGAGGAAGGACAGTTTAGGGAGGGGGGGACAAGCTGGGCTGGTTTCGGGATGCGGTTGGGGGAGGGGAGATTTTGAAGCTTGCAAAGTCCACATTGATACCATTGGGCTGCAGGGTTCCCAAGCGGAATATGAAGTGCTGTTCCTGCAACCTTCAGGTGGCATCGTTGTGGCACTGCAGGAAGCCCAGGATGGACATGTTGTCTGAGGAATGGGAGGGGGAGTTGAAATGGTTCGCGACTGGGAGATGTAGTTGTTAAGTGTGAACCGAGCAAAGGTGTTCCGCAAAGCGGTCCCCAAGCCTCCGCTTGGTTTCCCCAATGTAGAGGAGGCCACAACGGAACAGCAGATACAGTATACCACATTAGCAGATGTGCAGGTGAACATCTGCCTGATGTGGAAAGTCGTCTTGGGGCCTGGGATGGGGGTGAGCGGGGAGGTGAAGGGGCAGGTGTAGCACTTTCTGCGGTTGCAGGGAAAAGTGCCGGGTGTGGTGGGGCTGGAGGGGAGTGTGGAGCGGACAAGGGAGTCACGGAGAGAGTGGTCCATCCGGAAAGCAGATAAGGGTGGGGAGGGAAAAATGTCTTTGGTGGTGGAGTCGGATTGCAGATGGCAGAAGTGTCAGAGGATGATGCGTTGGATCCGGAGGTTGGTGGGGTGGTACGTGAGGACGAGGGGGATTCTGTTTTGGTTGTTATTGTGAGGAGGGGGTGTGAGGGACGAGTTGCGGGAAATGCGGGAGACACGGTCGAGGGCGTTTCGACCACTGAGGGGGAGAAGTTGCGGTCCTTGAAAAATGAGGACATCTGAGATGTACAGGAGTGGAATGCCTCATCCTGGGACCTGATGCGGCGGAGGCGAAGGAATTGGGAATAGGGAATGGTAGTTTTGCAGGAAGGTGGCAGGGAGGAGGTGTACTCTAGGTAGCTGTGGGAGTCGGTGGGCTTGAAATGGATATCGGTTTCCAGATGGTGGCCAGAGATGGAAACAGAGAGGTCCAGGAAGAAGAGAGAGGTATCAGAGATGGTCCAGGTGAACTTAAGGTTGGGAACAATCCCTCTTCCGTAGCTACACTGGCCCTAAACCCCACTTCTTCCTCCATTATATTGATGACTGTGTCAGCACCGCCTCGTGCTCCCAGGAGGAGATCGAAGAGTTCATCCACTTCACCAACACCTTCTACCCCAACCTTAAGTTCACCTGGACCATCTCTGATACCTCTCTCTCCTTCCTGGACCTCTCTACTTTGGGGAAACCAAGCGGAGGCTTGGGACTGCCTTGCAGAACACCTACCCTCGGTTCGCACTAAACAACTGCACCTCCCAGTCGCAAACCATTTCAACTCCCTCTCCCATTCCTCAGACGACATGTCCATCCTGGGCCTCCTGCAGTGCCACAACGATACCACCCGAAGGTTGCAGGAACAGCACCTCATATTTCGTTTGGGAACCCTCAGCCCAATGGTATCAATGTGGACTTCACAAGCTTCAAAATCTCCCCTTCCCCAACCGCATCCCAAACCAGCCCAGCTTGTCCCCGCCTCCCTAAACTGTCCTTCTTCCCACCTATCCCCTCCTCCCACCTCAAGGCCCACCCCCATCTCCTACCTACTAGCCTCATCCCACCCCCTTGACCTGTCCGTCCTTCCTGGACTGACCTATCTCCTCCCTACCTCCCCACCTACACTCACCTTTACTGGCTCCATCCCCGCCGCTTTGACCTGTCTGTCTCCTCTCCACCTGTCCTCTCCTTTATCCATCTTCTGTCCACCTCCCCCTCTCTCCCTATTTATTTCAGAACCCCCTTCCCCTCCCCCATTTCTGAAGAAGGGTCTAGGCCCGAAACATCAGCTTTCCTGCTCCTCTGATGCTGCTTGGCCTGCTGTGTTCATCCAGCTCTGCACCTTGTAATCTCAGATTCTCCAGCATCGGCAGTTCCTACTATCTCTGGATCTGGTATCTCCTTGTTTGTTTTCTACTGCCTTACATTTAGCTACGTTGAGCAACTTGCGTGGAAAAATGTCATGATATGTTAGTTTGTGCTGTAGTGTAGGGTGTGTGATTTATTTATATTTTAATACAGTTTATTTCAAGGTTAGATTTTTAAATTTGAATTATGGCACAGAATTTTACGTGTTTTAAGGCATTAACTTATTAATTTGTAAGTATTACTTTAGCCAGGGTGATTTCTTTTAAACAAAAACAGAAATTGCTGGAAAAACTCAGCAGGACTGGCTGCGTCTGTGGAGAGAAATCAGAGTTAACGTTTCAGGTCGAATGACCCTTCTTCAGGATGCCTCACTCAACCCAAAATGTTAACTCTGATTTCTGTCCACAGATTCTGCCAGGCCTGCTGATCTTTTCCAGCAATTTCTGTTTTTGTTCCTGATTTACAGCATCTGCAGTTCTTTCAGTTTTTATTTATGATTTCTTTTAAAAATAGCTTTAAAAAGGTAGTTTTGGCCAGTATGAGAATTTGTTATATTGGGAGAGTTTATGAGCAAACCAGATAAAGAGTATTGCATTATGCTTTCAGTTAGAAGATTCTGGATTTTTTTTCTGGTCGAAAGGGAAGCACTCATAGCTTGGAAAAACAACTGTTTAGTTTCAATTTGGGGCATTTCAGCAGGGTTCTTAGCTGAACCTGGACGTGTAGCACAATCCCTTCTGAGAAAGGGAGAAGATAATTTAGAATTGTTGAAAATATGTTACCTTTATATTGTGAGTTCCAGGCCAGAAATGTTTGGTTAGAACTCTGAAGGAGTTATTTGAAGCTGAGATGGTTTGATCTCAATTATATGACAAATGAAAGAAAAAGCTACCAGATTCTTTCAACCAGGAATTGAAGCCACATCTAAATCAATTCCTATGTGGGATAGAGAAGAGTGTTCTTTCTGGTGTTTGAGCACTGTAATAGAATGGTTTTGGGATTAATGGGATTTTATTTTTACTGTGTTTTGAAATCTTTAAATGTATGTTATATGTAAATAGTTTGGTTTATTCTATTTTGCTTTTGTTTTATAAACTGTTTTCTTGTTAAACCTGAATCTGCAGCATTGTGTGTTTGTGTTTCAGTGAAAGACCATCTCAATAAAAACAAAATAAAACAAAATATTATCAATCAAACCAGATTTCAGTCTGGGAACTTACTTGTCCATTAATAACATCAGTTACCATCCCTTTAAAAGCAGGAAGATGAAAGGAAAGCATAGGGAAAAGGTCCTTCAAAGTGAGAGATTGTCAGGCATTGTCTATTGAACCAATATTCAATCCCAGAAATGTTACAGGGAGAACGAGGCCGTATGGCTTGTTGTGTCCACAACAGTTCTCTGAGCATTTTAATCAAGTTTTTTTAGTGCCTCTGTCCTGTCTTCTCTCCTTAATGCTGTTTCTATTTAAAACATCATATAAGGGGAGGCAATGGCCTAGCGGTATTATCGCTGGACTGTTAATCCAGATGAAATTCTGGATACTGGGGTTCGAATCCCGCCACCACAGATGGTCGAATCTGAATTCAATAAAATATCTGGAATTAAGAGCCTAATGGTGCCTATGATGATTGCCGGAAAAACCCATCTGGTTCACTAATGTCCTTTAGGGAAGGAAACTGCCATCTTTACCTGGTCTGGCCTACATGTGACTCCACACCGACAGCAAGGTGGTTGACTCTGAACTGTCCTCTGGGCAATTAGGGATGGACAATAAATGCTGCCTAGCCAGTGACGACCTCATCCTGTTAATGAATTT